TATAACAAAGTTAAGTAGAAAAGGAGAAAGAGGGCAACCCTGACGGACACCACTTTCCGTGGTGAACTCGGGAGAAAAAGTGCCATAAGCTCGGACTCGACTTCGGCTATTAGTATAAAGCGATCGTAATATTAAAATTAATTTCTCGGGCACACCTTTCAAAAAAAGGCAGCGCCAGAGTTTATAGCGGTCGACTGATTCGAAAGCCTTTTTCAGATCTAGGAAGACAGAGATGGTGGGTCTACGAAAAGAATGCCGGTGATCCAGAATTTGGCGCAGAGTAAAGATGTGGTCGATACAACCTCGACCGGGTCTAAAACCAGCCTGGTTCTCACGCGTGCACCGTTCGCGTGCGGCAGACAATCGGCGGAGTATGATGCCAGCGAGAAGTTTAGAGATGTTGATTAAACTAATTCCTCTATGATTGCCGTAACCAGTGACCCTCCTTCATCTATTCGCTCTTTGCACAGACCGCATTTACTTGCTTCCTGTATTTTCTGTTTGGATGGTTCGCTTAACTCTAAACTCTTAGCTATGCTCTTTTCTCACTGATCAATCAAATGGGTAGCCGAAAGACAGCAACTTTAACCGTCCTGCAATAGTGGAAGTTTACCTTTGTGCAAACTAAAAACTTAAACTTGGACTTACCCGATTCAACTGGTCGGAAGCAAACATCACTTGACGCTGGATAACCGCTCCTTTCTGAACCACAGTTGATCTATTTCCGTCGGTGATATGCGGCTCAGGACTGACGGCTAAAAATGCATCCACACTGTTTGTGTCTCCGTGACAACGGTAGTGCCCGGTGTCTTTCAGATTGGCATTATTGATGAACAGAATCAGGCGACCTTTGTCGTCATGCATAGTGTACACCGTGGTCGGAATGGCCCCGGTTCTCTCGGTGCTCAGCATTGGTACTCCAGATGGTCGTTTGTCTGGCGCTCCGGCCGCATCCGGATGTGGACCGATTTCACGACTGGCATAACCGTCATCCGCCTCGTAGGTCCATTTGTGACCACCACAACAGATAAATTGCACATCACTACCGAACGGAGCAGTCACGTTGGACGGACTGCCCAATTGGACTGTGACGAATTGGCCATCCGGTCCCGGTTGACAGGATGATTCCGCTGTGATCCAAAAACTGAGCCACGTGATAAGGCTATGTGGTAAAGACAAATGGGGACGAACACGGACTGTGAATTTGTATAACTTGACAATGAACGTATCTATGGAAAGTATTGAGAATGAAGAAATACACTTACTCTCAAAACATGTGACTTGAGTGTTGGCATACACTTTCTGCTATTTCAACAATTATGCTTTTCTACTTCGGTCACTTAGTCAGGTTGGTTCGTGTACTATCTTGGAAAGGCTGACTGAAAGCAATCTTGTCAATGTAATAATTTATGACAGAAATGAAGCGAGGATTTGGTCCGATGATCTGATGAATTTCTTCGTGTAAAGAACAAAACAGGTGGGTTCTGCTATACCGCCTTTAACGAAAATGAAAAACGGCCCGATCGACTGCCTGGTGGCCGAGGGGGTAGTATGCTTGCTTTCTGTCTGCGCAATTCGCTATCCCCAACTGGGTTAATGGATTCGCGCATTGCTACTGAGACCCAGGCACGTCGGAACAACTGTCCAGTGAATGCGAGCTTTTCAGTTCACGTTTTATTTGCTCCTTACAAGACGGAATTCACCATATGTTTAAGTTCGGTCAAGGTTACAAACAACATTGGTCGAAACTGGTGTAACACTCGGGTGTTGTTGTTGAGTCTTCCGTCTTACCGTTTCACTTGAACATCAGACCCATAGCAAGAATGTTGTTTCGTTTTGGTCACCCACAATTCCCCTTACAGAATGATTCGTTTTTCTTCGCGCCAGTCTATGTGTACATGGTCTTTCCGATCGCATATTTGACATTGAGTGCCTGTCAAGTCATCATTTTCCTCACTCCCAATAAGATACTTGTTTAATAGTGCACACTGAAAATGATCAGTTTTCACGTGATATTCTGTTTCAATACGATAATATTGTTGAATGGACGTAAGTATGAATGATTATTAAATCGAAGATGAACAAAAATAATACGAGGATAGTAACATGCCAAATCGATTGAGGAACAGGACCTAAAAACCAAAAACCGTGAGAAAGGACACAATTGCCGAAGTCTGATAAGGATGATGATGTGTAAAATGCAACAAGAGGGAAAAAGACACCTCAGCGCGTTTCCCAGCTACAATTCAAACCCGTGAACTAGAGGAAGACCAGTTCTATGTTTTGGAAGTATGGGTTGGAGTCGCCGCAGTAAGATTTATTTAGGAGATTTTTTATTTTGGGAATAACTGTGTAGTTCGCAACGTGGACGCGATTGTCTCCAGGCGTTCGGTGGTTAATGGGAATGTGATTCACTGAAAAATTATAACGCTGCTTCGTAACTCAGTTAGTCGAGTGCACGTTTTCGGAAGGAGCAAGTTCGGATCTCGCTGTGCATTCCGTCAATTAAAATTAACTGCACCCGGAACATTCAATCAATCAAATTTATGTGACCAGCAAATAAAAGTATGTTCACATAAAATAACATCGCAAGAGAAGTTAGTAACACATTTTTTCTAGGAACAAATATAACTTAGACAGAACATGTGCAACTTGAAAAGTATGCTAATGAGGCAAACATCTGGATACGCATTGGGCAAACAAGCGAATGAACCCAAACAACACAAATGCTCCCATCTGGTTTCGTGCGACAAACAATTACCGTCCTATTTGGTTTTCAACTAAATCAGAACAAGAGTCTCTTGAATTCGGATAAAAATTCAGAGTGTGGCGCTGCACGCGGTCATTAATGGGGAACAGAACACAGAACATAATTGGATGGTAAAATTGGACTGCAAAAGGTGGACAATTGTTTCAACCTACCGGTGGATAAACTGTACTGTGATTTGATTTCCTGCAAACTGACGCTTTAGTGTTCCAAATACACATTGCAAAACCATCTACATCTAATCAATATTCATATCAGCAACGCAGTTACATCGATTGCTTACGAGGACCGGATCAGGCCAATCAGTCGATTTCCACCGGGCACATATGCATGGAATGTCAAATAACCGTGTCAAAATCATCCCTCCCACTACCCTCCAATATTTGGTCCCCCCTCCCAAATGATGAAGGTGACAACTTCGGGTATGCGTATAAGTACTCCCACAATGGGCATAGTCGAATTTACATCCACTGCTTACGAACAAGCCCCATTATTGGACATTCTGATAAATGGCTTTGAAGGCTACTGTCATTAGCCGATCACTAAGGTTGATCCGGGGTTTTTATTCTCAGTGGGTGTTTCATTAGTACACTGTTCTCATTCTGTATTGCAGTATTTGTGATTTTTAGAATCAGTGACAAGTGCTATGGGATGTATTTCAAAAACTAAATGAGTTGTTAGGTGAAACTATGCTTCTGCTCAAAGCCTGTCAACGTGTCATCAAGTCACGACATTCAGTAGGGAATCTACCTGTGTTGGGGGAGAATTTGTAATTCAAAAGTAGAATAATTTAAGATATTAGACATCGGGACGAAACTTACTAGTGATCTTCTAACTTGTAATCTAATATAGCTTCTTATTTCAGCACGCAAGTGAGTTGTTTTACAAAAATCTGTCAAGGGTGAGTTATTATGAGACTACTGACAATAAATTAGTAGTGTGGCAGAAAATCAGCCCAATATAGACGTGAATTCACACAGTTTCGCTTTCAAAAACTAGAAAATGGCCTTTCGATATTTTTCTCAGCCGAATAGTTTATATACATTTCCTCTTGTCACAGTCGAGAGAAAATATTTGACAAGCGATATCGGTTATTGGGAACGCTAGAACCGAATGGGCTACCCAAAATGAATTAGACATATGCAACTGGATCAGATCACCGAACTTTTTACAGATATCTAAAATAAGACAGGAAAAGACTCCGTGTGTGAGCATAAAGAAACTGGTAAACAATAACAACTAATTCAATTATTAAACAATAACCCCCTCCCCCCGTCCATACACACACACACACACACACGAAAAGCCCGACCAGATGCGTATCTGACAATGGTTGTACATGACCGTTCTCGTTCTATCACTATTCGAATCGGTCGATATCATATCTGTTGTGCAAGCATTTTTCAATTTCTAACTAATCTATTGCGATATCTTTGAACTGAAGCGTAATCAACTTAAATGAAAATGTGAAAGTTAACCAACAAATACAAATATATTTGTCTAACAGCTGAATAATAATAATAAATGTTTTTTACTCCCCTTTTTGATTTTATTGAATATACAAATTTACAGTCAATTTTCAGGAAAGGGGACGCATCCATACAAAGGCTTTCTGGGAAAGTATAGAAGTAGGGAAGACGGGTGTCGGTGGAGCAGTTCTAACCCGGGAGGTCTGAATCACATTTTCGTGACCTAACCACTAGTAGGCGATAAAGCAAATCGTTCATTTGAAACCAGGTTGATTACTGCATTCACTTTCACACATTGTTTTTGCAAAAGAACCGCAATCAATCTGCTGTCTCCTATACAAATTTAATCCTCCAGTAGCGAAAAACTCTTCTTTTACTACTAGGTTCCACGCAATACAAGCTCACATAGCGAGAAACGGTACTAATGCCCAGGAAAGGGTCATTGAGAAGGCCCGAGATATTCTGCACCAGTTTAAACCCAACATATTAAAGCCGGTTTTATGGAATTTGACTAGGAAATTACACTTCACGATTTACTTGACAATCGAGTCACATGGCATCCACTGGGGTGTCTATTTGTATTGTTCTGAAACATAAATAGGTTTTCTCAACGAACTACACTGATTTGAGTCCAACGACAAAATGCTACTAGAACATGTTACATATTTCGTTCCCCCAGTCGATCTACTGTTGTGGTATAAGCGATCTGGAGGAAATAATAGAATCGATAAAATAAAACAGATTTATAAAAAATTGCATAAGTCTACCCCCAAAAGGTATGTCGTGAACCAAAGGAAATCTCCCATTAATCTTTCCATAACCACCGAATCAATACCCCATCCATCACTTACAACGAACTGTCAGTTAGACGTGATTTGAAATCAGGTCCAGCAGGTGGTATATTGATCTCCACCTAGTTACATGTAAGACCGGATTTCCTGGGCAAATGGTTTCAAACGGTGTTGACAGGTTGCAATAAAAGCGTCTCAGTTTAATGCTATCGGGACCGTATATTTAAAACACACTGACTACCATTGAAATGAACAGTGGATCAAACGCGGATCGATAATTGTCTGATCAAAACCGGTGAATGTTGTTTGGTACAACGGTAAGACCAGTTTCCGTTTTTCAAATAGAATTCGGATTTATATAATATACTTTGGCCTTCAATGCGAGGGGTTTGCGGAGGAGGGAGCTAGGTTAACAGATTGATGAAACAATGAGTGTTTATGGGAATAAAATCTGCGTGCAGTTCCATCGCTCTCGTGTATGATTGACTGCATTCTGCATAAAGATGGAAGTTGGTCCGCTCAAAAGAGGAATCTGAGTTAATCAAAATCGCGATTTTTCTTTTCGTGGTAGAATGCAAATAGCAATCACTACTAATAAAAGAAAATAAGTTTATTGTAGACTGTTGCCAATGTCACAGCTCCCC